TTTTTTCTCTCCTTTCTCTCTCTATTAATATATATATACACAAAAAAAGAAGGAAAGAAACCAGCAAAGAAAAAATAAATAAATAAGAAGAAAAAAAAAAAGTACAACCAAACACAAACACACATCATACCCCCCAAAAAAAAAGAAAAAAAAGGAACTACTTGAACAGAGAAAAAGTCAAATATATCTATCTATATATCTATATATATATTTGAGAAATAATGACTACGACGACTACTGCTGCTACTACCCCTCCTGCAGCCCGAGTCTCTGTCTCCTCCTGCAGCTGCGAGGACTACATCTCCATTGGCCATCCCTGCGGAAGCAGCGCAAACAGCAACAGTGAAGAAATGATGATGAAACCCATTTTGGCGGAACGGTACAAAACGAAATTCTGCCGTCATTTCATCGAAACTGGTGTTTGCCCGTATGAATCCCGGTGTATGTTTGCACATGGGGAGATGGAATTACGAACGGCGGAGATGAATATGAGGGATGGATTATTTACAGAAGAGGCCATTCGGGCATTCCGTCAACAACAATGGCGACGAACCGCAGGACTGCGGCATTCACACTCTCATTATAATTATCATCGCAGTAGTAATAATAATAATAATAATAATAATAGTTATTATTATAATGATAATGATATCATCAGTGCCTATATGAATGGATATGATTATAATACCCCTATGCCTCTTCCTCTTTCCAGCAGTGATAGAGATGCCTATGGGTATTATTCCTATCCACAGATGCAGGCGTATGAAGGATCCTCCTCATCCTCTTATTATAATAATAATGATTATAATTATTATAATTATTATTATTATTATTATTATTATTATTCAGATCCTTCCATGTATAAAGAAGGAGAAGAAGTGCCGTATGTGTATACACACAATCCATACGCGTATGATCTTTTATCGCCAGAGAGCCGTCTGTACAGTAAATCACCCGCAATGCCTTTACTACCAGCACCTCAACAAGAACAAGAAGAAGAAAAAGAAGA